GCTGATCTTATCAACAAAAGAAAACAAAAATCCTGAAATCTGGAAGACACAACATAGAAGAAAATCAGTAATGTTTTAGGAAAAAAGTCATCGAATTGTGTTCAGTCTCGCGTAATCTCTCTTGTTGAATTTGCAGTGTTCCCGAGGTCTGACCTTTCCATTAACGTTCAACACTATTGATATTTCAGAACGTGTCCCTATCATTAAACTGGCCTTTTTCTTGGTCATTTTTTGTTCTCTTATTTGTCTGTCTTTAGTTTTCCTGGTATAGTACTCCCTTTAGAATGTCTCGAAGAGCTGATCTAGTGTTGGTGTTGGTAAATTCTTTCGGGTTTTGTTTATCTGAGAATGTTTTTATCTTTTCTTCCCATACAAAGGGCAATCTTGCCGGAAATGGTGTTTTTGGTTGAAATTGTTTTTCAGGTAACACTTGAAATACCTTTTCCCATTCTTTCCTTTCCTTGCTTGCATTGTTTCCAATGAGAGGTCCAATGTCCTTTGAAAGTAACTTGATGTTTTTCTCTTGATAATTTCAGTATCTTGTCTCTGTGGTTTTGGTCAGTCTGGCTATGATGTGCCTTGGAGAAGATCTTGTGTTGACTCTGTGTGGGGTCCTTTGCATTCCTTGCGTCTGGATATTTGAATGCCTCTCTAGGTTTGGAAAGTTTTCTTCCTGGATTTCATGGAATAGATTATCAATGCCCTGACTAGTTTCTTCACATTCTGGGATACCAATTATCCGGATGTTTGGGTGTCCAATGGTAGGTATCTTGTATTACTCGTATATTCTCATTTTGGGGGGTTATTTTCTCAGTCTTTTTGGTGAGTTTTTCTAGGTCAGCGGTTCTGTCTTCTACATCTGAGATTCAATCTTCTGTATGATCTAATCTGCTTTTAGTACTTTCAAGGGAGGTTTTGATTTCTTGTATTATAGCCTTCATCTCCAACAGTTCCCATTTGATTTTTTTTTTTTTTATGGTGTACATTTCCTCTTTCGGATCATACAAGAACTTCCTCACCTCCTGGAACTCATCTCTTTTCTCCTGCATCTTCTGGAGTTCATTGTTTGTCTTCTCTTGCATCTGCTAACTTTGTCGCTATGAGTATCCTAAACTCTGTATCTGACATTTCCGTGACTTCCACTGTGCTGTCTGTGGATGATGAAGGGCTGTTCTTTCCCCTTGGGGAGATATTTTCTTGGTTTCCCGTATTTCTTGTGCCTGTGCAGTGGTTTCTGGTCATCTGATGGATTATAAGTTACTTCCTACCTTCTTGAAGTTAATTCTGAGTGCTAGAGGCATGCAGGATGAGATGACCTACAATATTTCCTCAGTTCTGTTTCCCTGATCCTCATCAAGCAACCTGCCCTGGCTTTTCCCTGAGTGTTGAGCCGGAAGGAGAGGTTTAGGGCAGAGGCTTTCTAGTTAAAAGGGCAGGGCTAGGCCTACCTTGCCGGGACTTGCTTGGCATGCACACTTTTTTTTTGAGTGGGGAAGGCTGTGGATTAGAAACAGATGCAATAACGAACACACGAAAACACGCAAGTATAGAAAAGCGAGGATTGGGTGGACCCCACTTTTCTTCTGATGGAGAAATTGCAATCTTGATCGGGCCTCAGGTTTATCCTTCTAAAGAGTAGAGTATGGGGGAAGAGGAAATGGTATGTAAAGACAGTCGTTCGGGGCGCCAATCAACCAAGGATGTAGAAAGGGCTGGCACCATGTCATTTCTGGGATTTTTTGGGGGGAGGATCTGATAAACACATGTGACTTCCAACAGGAAGGTACCTGTTGACAAGAGACAGACAGTGCTTTTGTATGTAAATGTTTCTCAATAGCCCTACTAAAGTAGCTCACAAAAGCGCATTTTTGCATGCACCTAAAAGTCCCATGATTTCTCAGACTGCTGCTCTCCACTCTACCTCAGATGCACATGAATTCTGGCTTTTTCCTGGGTGTTGGGCCCGAAGCCACCTGGTGTGATTTTTTTTTTTTTTTTGAAGAGGTTTTTGCTATAGGGCGTGTTCGCTCGCCAGACAGAGAGAGAGAGAGAGACAGAAAGCAAGAAATCTCCCCCCAGGGGTTGGGCACGCCACAATCCCTTCTCCATTCTCCTCTTGGGATCTTGGGCACACACACACATGCACCCAGTGTGAGTTTAAGCCACTGGGTCCAGGACACGAACCACGGTCGACCACATGGGAGTCCAGTGACATAGCCATTATGCTAACTGCTGGCCCCAGCACCTGGTGTGATATTTAAGTCTCCTGGTCCTACACTTGAACTGCACAGTTGGCTGTGTGGGATCCAGCACCTTAACTACCATCTTGGTTGCTTGTTTTTAAATCGACTTGACTTGTCTCTGGGACCAGCAAGTGGCGTGGTGGTTGAAGCACTGGATTCCCACATGGTGGACAGCAGATTGTGTCCTGGACCAGGCAGCTTGAAAATCATAACAAAGAAATAAATGTGGGTTTTTTAAAAAAATTATTTATTCAATTTTATTCTTTCATTCATTCATTTTAATTTGAAGAGAGAGAGAGAGAGAAAGCAAGCCACCAGGTCTGGGACTCCAACCATGGTTGGTTATGTGGGAGTGTCCCGCATCTTAGCCACCATGCCACCTGCTGGTCCCCAGAAATAAATGATTTTTTAAAAAATGCATCGTATGGGACCAGCAGATGGTGTAAGGGTTTTGTCGCTGGACTCCCATGTAGTTGACTGTGGTTCAAGTTTTTCACCTAGTGGCTTAAAACTCACACCAGGCATGTATGTGTGCCTAAAATCCCGAGAGGAGAATGGAGGAGACGGGATTACTTTGTGGCTTTCTTCCTGGGGGTGATTTCTTACTTTCTGTCTCTCTGGCAACTACATGTGCCTTATAGCAAAAGTCTCTGTTTAAAAAAATTAGATGGAGGACCAGCAGTTAGTGTAATGGCTATGTTGCTGGACTCTCATGTAGTCGACCATGGTTCGAGTCCTGGACCCAGTGACTTAAACTCACGCTGGGCATGTGTGCATGCGAGCCCAAGATCCTGAGAGGAGAATGGAAGAGAAGGGATTGCGGCGTGACCATCCCCCCTGGGGGGAGATTTCTCGCTTTCTGTCTCTGTCTCTCTCTGCCTGGCGAGTGCACGCGCCCTATAGCAAAAAAAACTCTAAAAAAAAATTGGATGGCAGCATATGAAACTCAACATTTAAACATAAATAAATAAACTGACTTGTCTTTTTTCTTAGTTTATGGAAGCTTTAGTAACATAGTTATGTATTAAAAAGAACATATTTCTTTGTTGCGTGTTAACCACACCCTCACATAATTTAATGACAGTACAATAAAAAATAGTGCAAATTTTAAAAAGACAGTGTAACAGCTCTTTATATGGAATTCACGTTGTACTGGGGATGATAAGCAACCTAGAGATGACTCAGTCTAGAGGACTGATGTGTGAAGGCCATATGCAAATCCTCTAGTATTATTTAAAGAATATTTTTACTTAATGTTGTCATTTATTTATTTATTTTAATTTGAGCAGAGAGAGACATAGAGAGAACATGGGAAAGCAAGGTGCCGTGTCCAGGACTCGAACCACACTGAGCCACGTGGGAGTCCAGCACCCCAACCACTACGCCATCTGCCGGCCCCAACAAATCCTATAGCACTTGGAAGGCATGGGGACATTGGACTGTCCAGTTTGCCTTTTGACGTTAGGGTCCTTTTTTCATCCCACAATTTGTCAAAATTGTCTTTTCCTTTCTGGCTTCACAGTATCTCGCCTCAAGTCCTTCCTGCCCCCAGTCTGGATATACAACGCGCAGATACTCTCCCAGTTTCCCTTGAAACACTCCTGCTTTGCTCGTATTCATTTAGGCTTCCCTCCCATGATACAGGAGCTCCGGCCAGATGGAGAACCGGGGATGTCACTGCTGCTACGCAGACGGTCTTTTCCACACTGACTGGGTCCCATCCCCTGTCCTGTACACACACACCGCACAATCGGATCTATTTTTGGGCCATCTGTTCTGTTCCGGGGATGTCTGTCTCTCCGTGTCAGGGCATGTGCATCGCTCAGCCCACATGGGGGACCGGGGTTCAGTTCTTGGCCTGCGCTGAAAAGCCAGGTGCGGTGCACACACCTGTGGCCCCAGCAACTCGGGAGGCTGAGGCCAGAGGATGGAGACAGAGAGTGGGACCAGCAGTTGGCGTAATGGCTATGTCGCTGGACTCCCGTGTAGTCGACCCCGGTTCGCATCCCGGACCCGGTGGCTTAAAACTCACGCCGGGTGCATGTGCGTGCGTGCCCAAGATCCCGAGAGGAGAATGGAGAAGGGATTGTGGCGTGGCCATCCCCCCTGGGGGGTGATTTCTCGCTTTCTGTCTCTATGTCTCTCTCTGACCTTCTGGCGAGCGCACGCGCCCTATAGCAAAAACCTCTAAAAAAAAAAAAAAAGGATGGAAACAGAGTGAGACCTTGTCTGAAAATAAAACAACACGCAGAGAAAGGACTGGTGGACTCGGACAGGAGTGGGAATGGCCACGGGTGGGGGGAGGGGCTGAGGGATCCTCCAGCCCCAATAAGAGGGACCCAGCAGCTGTAAAATAGGCTTCCCTTTTATTTCAAATAAAGTGTCCAGGTTAGTGCCACGAGTTGAGTTCAGGGGGCCGGAACCCACTGGGACACGGCAGGGCAGGGGTTCTGTCCCCTGCCCCAGCTCAGCCAGCGATGAGGGGTGTGGGGCTGTCGTCTGCCTGGCCCCTGCCAGCGGGGTTCCTGGCCTGCCCCCTCAGAGGCCGGCGGGGCTGCGGGCCGAGGCAGGGACTCAGGGAGGCGGGAGCAGGCCTGGGCGAGGTGTCCGTGGCCAGGAGGGTTAGTGGTCAGAGCCCAGGCAGGCGGGGTAGGGGGGGCTCC